ACACCAAATGCTTCAGCAGCAGCACCAACAAGTAGATGAAGGGGGGAAACGCGCAGAGCAGCAGCAGCAGAGGGAGAAGCGCAGCAGAATATGAAGAGTAAAGAGCTGCAGAAGCAGCTTCAGCAGCAGCAACAGCTGCTGCAGCAGCAGCAGCAGCAGCTGACTGAACGTGAGGCTGTCTTGCAGCAGCAGCTGAAGGAGCTGCAGCAGCAACGCATGCAGCTGCAGCAGCAACAGACGCAGCAGCAGCAGCAAGAACGTGAAATTAAGAGGCAGCAAGAGCTGCTGGAGGAGCAGCAGCAGCAGCTGAAGGGAAAGGAGCAGCAGCAACAGCAGCAGCAGCAGCAGCAACGAGAGCTTGATCAGCAGCAGCTTGCTGCTGCTGAAGACAAGAAAGTAGCGCAGGAGGAGAAGCAGCAGCAGCAGCTGCAGCAGCTGGAGGCGCAGCTAGAAACACAGCAGCAGTTAATCAAGCAGCAGCAGCAGCTGCTGCAGCAGCAGGAGCAGCAGTTGCAGCAGCAAGAGCTGCAACTGCAGCAGCAGGAGCAGCAGCTGCAGCAGCAGGAACAAGAACTGCTGCAGCGCGACTCTGAAATGCAGCAGCAGGAGCAGCACAGTAGAGAGGAGCTGCTGCAGCAGCAGGTGCAGCAGCAGCTGCAGCAGCTGCAGCAGCAGAGCCAGCTGTTGCAGCAGCAAGAAGAACAGCTGCAGCAGCAAGAGGAGCAGCTGCAGCAGCAGGACCAGCAGCTGCAGCTGCTTGAGCAGCAGCTGCAGGAGCAGGATCAGCAAATGGGTGCACGCATGCGAGAGCAGCAGCAGCAGCAGCAGCAGCAGCAGCAGCAGCAGGCAACCCTGCCAGGACCAGAGGGTTTGCTGCAGCAGCTGCAGCAGCAGAATGTGCAGCTGCAGAGCGACGTTCAGACGCTGCAGCAGCAGCTGGAGGCAAGCGGAGCAGCACAAGAGCTGCTGCTGCGGAAGGCTGAGCAGCAGCAGCAGCAGCTGCAGGCAGCAGCAGAGGAGAAAGCTGGTTTGCTGCAGCATGTTGCTGCAGTGGATCGCGAAGCAGCAGCAGCAGCAGCAGCAGCAGCAGCAGAAGCAAAACAGCTGCGAGGAAAGTGTGAGGAGCTGTCTATACAGCTGAGAGATGCAGAGGAGAACGCAGCAGCAGCAGCAGACGGAGAGCAGCAGCTGCAGCAGGAGGTGCAGCAGATGCAGCAGGAGCTTGCTGCTCTAACTGAAAGGCTAGCAACAACACAAAGACAAGAGCTGGAGCAGCTGCAGCAGCAGCTGCAGCAGCAGGGAGCAGCAGCAACAGCAGCAGCAACAAACGCACAGTTCACCCGCATGCAGCAAGTGATGGACCTGCAGCAACTGCAGCTGCAGCAGCAGCAGCAGCAACTGCAGCAGCAGCAGCAGCTTATAGATGAACTCCATGCTCAGCAACAAGAAAGAGAAAAGGAGATGGCTAAGCGCAGCCGACAGAGTGAGGAGCAGCAGCAGCTGCTGCTGCAGCAGCTGCAGCAGGAGAGGGAGCGAGCTGCAGCAGCAGCAAGACGGCAGCTGCAGCTGCAGCAGCAGCATCAGCAGCAAACCGAAAGCCTCCGTATCTCTTTATCAGATAAGGATGAGTTGCTGCAGCAGCAGCAGCAGCAGTGGGAGCAGCAGGAGCAGCAGCTGCAGCAGCAAGCAGCAGAGCTGCGACATACGCTTGAGCAGCAGCAAAGAAGCAACGAGCTGCTGCAGCAGCAGCTGCAGCAGCAGCAGCACGAAGCAAAAGATGCACGAGATGCAGCAAGACAGCTGGAGGATATTTGTGTGCAGCTGCGGGAGCAGCTGCAGCAGCAGACAGCAGAATTTGAGTTGCTGCAGCAGCAGCACAGCAGCCTGCTGCAGCAGCACCAGCAGCAGTGTGGCGAGCTGGAGGAGCTGCAGCAGCAGCACAACGAGTTGCTGCTGCAGCAGCAGCTGCTGCAGCAGCAGCTGCAGCAATCCGCTAGTGAGCTCGCCAGCCTCCAGTCACTGGCAGAGACCATGGAGCAGCGTGCTGCAGCGTCGCTGCTGCAGCAGCACGCAGCAGCAGAGCAGCAGCAGCAGCAGCAGCAGCAGCAGCAGCAGAAGGAACAGGAGCTAGTCGCATCAGCGTCTGAAAGGGAACAACAGCAGCAGCAACAGCAGCAACAGCAGCAGCAGCAGCAGCAGCAACTGCAGGAAGAGGAGCAGCAAGATGCAGCTGAAGGGGAGGATCAGCAGCAGCCGCAGCAGCAGCAGCAACGCCGGCAGCGGTCCATAGAGAAGCAGCTGCAGCACATGCAGCAGCTATACCAGCAGCTGCAAGAGGACTTTGCTGCAGCGCAGCAGCAGCAGCAGCAGCTGCAGCAGCTGTATGAACGCCAGTCGCAGGATTTTGTGAATGCCGTACGCAGAGCAGGGAAAGCAGAGGCGGAGCTGCAGCTGCTGCAGCAGCAGCTGGAAGCAAGACAGAAGCGCAGCAGCAGCAGCAGCATGCAGCAGCAGCAGCAGCAGCAGCAACAGCAGCAGCAGCAGCAGCAGCAGCACGAAAAAGAACTC